TGTATATTGTCTTCCTGCTTATTTAACTTATATGCAAAATACATCATGCGAAAGGCAAGAGTGGAAGAATCCCAAACTGGAATTAAGATTGCCAGAAGAAACATCAAGAACCTCAGATATGCATATGATACCACTCTGATGACAGAAAGTGAGGAGGAATTAAAGAACCTCTTAATGAGGGTGAAAGAGGAAAGCTCCAAAAATGGCCTAAAGCTCAACATCAAAAAGATCATGGCCAATGGTCCCATCACCTCCTGACAAACAGAAGAGAAAGATATGGAGGTAGTGACAGATTTCGCTTTCCTGGGCTCCATGTTCACTGCAGATAGTGACAGCAGCCACGAAATTAAAAGTCACCTGCTACTTGGGGGGAAAGCAATGACGAACCTAGGCAGCATCTTAAAAAGCAGAGACATCACCTTGCTGACAAAGGTCCGCATTGTCAAAGCTATGATTTTTCCAGTAGCGATGTACAGAAGTGAGAGCTGGACTATAAAGAAGGCTGACCACTGAAGAATCGATGCTTTTGAATTGTGGTGCTGGAGGAGACTCTTGAGAGTCCCTTGGACTGCAAGGAGAACATACCTATCCACTCTGAAGGAAATCAACCCTGAGTGCTCACTGGAAGGACAGATCCTGAAGCTGAGGCTCCAATACTTTGGCCATCTCATGAGAAGAGAAGACTCCCTGGAAAAGACCCTGATACTGGAAAAATGTGAAGGCAAGAGGAGAAGGGGACGACAGAGCATGAGATGATTGGACAGTGTCACCGAAGCGACCAACATGAATTTGACCCAACTCCGGGAGGCAGTGGAAGACAGGAGGGCCTGCCGTGCTCTGGTCCATGGGGTCACGAAGAGTCAGACACAACTTAACAATTAAACAACAACAATAGCAGCAAAATACTAAATTTTCCATGAAGTTTGCCTGTAAGGTATTTAACCATTCTGTTCTCAACCCAGACAGCTGATTTTCATTAAAATGTTTTTTTGTGTGTGTGTGACTGCCCACGCTTAAGGTACCCCAGTTTTAGGATTTGCAGAAAATATAAGAGATGGTTAACAACATTAATTGATAAATAAGAGAGACTAGAAAATGAAATGCAAACTGGGAGGAAATATAAAAGAAAAAGGGAACCCCTTGTTGTTTTCCATTACTGTTCCTGATAAGAAAAGGTCTCATGGATTAACTCTTTGCCTCTGTTTGGAGAAAAAACTACACTTCATTTACAGTTACACACCAGAGATTTGACAATTTTGCTTCCATGTTAACCACTCAGAAGCTGCTTATTACTAGTGAGCATGGGGTGACGGAAAGGTAGACTTGACAAGGTTGCATATCCAGGGGTCCCAGGTTAGACTGCAATTCCACTATCATGGCAGTGATTTTTAGACATTTAAGACTCCACCTCTCCCACTGTTCCCATAAACTTCCCCAGGACCAAAGGGATCTTAAGTAGTGTAAGTCCAGGAATTGGAGGAGTGGGGAGACTTTTTATTAAGAAAATACTGCTGTGGCTGATGAAGTCACCAGGCTTATGCAGCCTAACTTTATGATACTGGATATCAGCCAGCTTGCTTGTATACTTAAATTAGAAGTTGTTGTTTTGAGAGAAAGATCTTTTTGTTGTTAAGTGACATGCTCTCTCAAGATCAATCCATGTGCTGGAAGGCCAGAAAAGAAAAGGAATAGGTATACTACTTAGGTAAAGGGGTAAAACGTAATAATCAGAATGTTGATCCTAGTGACAGTGGAATCCAATCTCATTGGTAGCATGTACGTGAGTAAATATCTAATACTAGTACACATATTACTAGTAGTACACAGTAGGTGATGGCGAGCTTTCCAGATACTGTACCATGGACTTTTCTAAAGAGAAACAAATTTAATACTAGTACACATATTACTAGTAGTATACAGTTGGTGATGGCGAGCTTTCCAGATACCATGGACTTTTCTAAAGAGAAACAAATGTCAGCTAAATCAGATCATCCTAAACTCTGTGAAAGTGAACATGACTAAAGTGAGGCTATTGTACTTTGGACAGAACACTAGAAGACAAAACTGATTGGAAAAAACAGGAATACGATTTATTTCATGTATTTGTTTCATTGTTTGGAAAATTAGAAGGCAGTAGGAATAGGGAAAGTCCCAAGATAAGATGGATTGACTACGTGAGGAAATCCATGGCCTTTAGTTTGCAAGAAGATTGTTAATGATAGGACCTTTTGGAGGTTAATAATTCACAGGGTCACCATAAGTGAGAAAGGACTTGATGGCACATAATACCAACAGTGAACATGCACACACAATATTGCTGTGCTCAGCTACAAATACAAGTTAAGCAGGCACAAACAGAAAGATACTAAACGGAATGAATTGCAATCATCTAAAAGACACCAACCAATCTTCCAGTTTTTCAAAACAGGGAAGGACTTTCTGTACTGTGCTTCAGGCAATAAATTAAATAAAGGAATAAACAACATAAATAAGATGAAAATGATTTCAATGTAGGGATTGTGTCTTGTTGCAACTAATGACGAAGAACAGCCATGAGATGTATCATGTGGCTCCAATCTTATGCTTTCAAAGCATAGCCAAATAAAATCACTGTTTAAACCATTAAGTTATAATTCTGTGGAGAAAAGGGTGAGACACATAGTGTTATAACCCAAATGTGTGCCTTATAGAATGCTTGTTATTGTACCTGACCTATTAGAATAAACAAAAATAAAACCACTGAACAGATAATGCCATTATTTGTTGTTTTTATGTTGCATCAAGTCAGAACTGACTGAAAGCAACCCTAATAGGGGTTTCAAGGTAAGGGAGATATTTATTTTCCATGACTGACTGGAAATTGAGACATAGGCCTCCTGAGTCCTAGTCCATCAGTCTATCCACTACAGTGCACTGGGTATCTCTAATGCCTTTACAGTCATGCCCCGCTTAACAATTGCCTCGCTTAATGAGAAAATCGCTTTACGATAAGGTTTTTGCAATCGCAATTGTGATCGCAAAACAATGGTCTAAATGGGAGAATTTCACTTAGCAATAATCGGTTCCCTGCTTCGGGAACCGATTTTTGCTTTACAACGATCAAAAACAGGTGATCGTTGGGTTTCAAATGGCCCCCGGCTGAACAAAATGCCCCCCCCCCCCGCTGTGCTTAGGGATGGATTCCTTGCTGCACAGGCATAGAAAATGGCCGTCCCTATGGAGGATCTTCGCTGGACGGTGAGTTTTCAGCCCATTGGAACACATTAACTGGGTTTTAATGCGTTTCAATGGGCTTTTTTATTTCGTTTGACGATGTTTTCGCTCTACAGCGATTTAGCTGGAACAAATTAACATCGTCAAGTGAGGCACCACTGTATTAAGGTTAACTAAACAGTTATATAATGGCCATATATTCATTTTTTAAAAAAAAAAACAACCCACAAATATGTGTGTGTTGAAGCAGAGTGGAAATGTCCTGGTATGAGCTATATCATGATTTCAGAAATGGAGCAAATGCATTTCAACGTTGAAATACATTTCTATCATAACCCTTGAGATTGTAAGTACAGGACTTGATCAAGATATGAAAGGGTTAGGCAGCCGCTCTTAAGTTTGTACTGTTCCCCGTCAAAAACAACAACAACAACACCTCTCTGATGTTTGGGCTGCACCTGTCAATTTCAAACCAGCATAATCTCTGGTCAGTCTTCATTATAGTTTACTGAAACAAGCCAGTTTCAAAGTAGAGGTTGTGAAATTGTCTTCTTTCCTAACTATGGCTAATTGAAAGAAGAGGCGAGAGAAGAGTATGAATCTGAGGCTTATGTATATAATGCTATATATTTGCTCAGTAGCCTTGTGCTATATAATGTTGTGATGCATAATATCACATCAAGCATTGCCAGTTTTCAGTGTCTTGACTGACGGGAATTGCTCTGTTCCTCCAGGTCTCTAGACAGAGAGACAAATCTGAGGGTGAGTGAACTGGAGCAGAAGGCTTGAGTTTTGTTACGTGAGATGTCTCAAAAGTCTGGGCACCCT